AATCAATGACTCTCTCATCATTGATGTTTCTATCTCTCTCTCTCTCCCTCTCCTTTCCTCTCTCTGAAATCAATAAAGACATATTTTTAAAAAAATAAAATAAAAAGAATGTAAACACAATGAAACAACTAAAAACCATGAAATGATAAGGATGATACATGCCACTTTGGGGCCAAATAATCGAAGAGTTGTAGAGATTCTATATACAAAAATGAAAATGATTTACTGATTTTTCTTAAAACATTGTTGGAGCCAAGAAATTTTTAAAAATATTAATTTGTGCAGTGAGTCCTAAATTGTCTAACCAATAACATATTCAGAACAATTAGAATCATCTATACGGTCTCAGATCCATGTCTACTTCAAGACAAGGAACCACAAGGCTGAGAGATTACAGTCATTTCTGGACTGTCTGAATGCCAAAACAGAGAAAAAGGAGCAAGAGTTAGTTACTGACATCCCTATTACAGCATTAAAAAGAAACTCAGGGGCATATACTCAACCTTCCGATCTCAGAGCTGAGACATGATTTTATGTACATGGTCAAGTGGTTTTATAAGGTCATCAATTTAGGAATTAACAAAAGTCGTAAAATCAGACTACCAAAACGATTTCACTGCATTATATCTGAAGCTTTAGAGAAATATAAAATTTGAAACCCTCTTCTAACTTCCGCAACGGAGTAAAGGTAAAATATACTTATCATAACATATATTATCTTGAGCTTCCATTGTAATTCATTATATTTTACAAAAACAGTGACTGCTGGCATGTCAGACTCTCTGTAATTAGAAGTGGTTTCTAATGATCAAAAAATGCACTGGGAGGTGAACACCAAGTCACCAGGACCATAAAAATCTTTTACTGCAGAGAGGCTTTAAAGTGCGAAATCATCGCCAAGTCCTGTCTCTAAAGACCTCTGCTTTCAGGACGGTCAGCCACCGGTTCTGAACTCAACCACAGCCCTGCACGGACCATCTAGAACCTGACCGTACCTTATAGTAACAATCATGCCAAAATAAACAAAATATCAAGACAGCAGGCCAAATCAGCACTTACTAAGTACTAATCTAATTGTCTGGGGTCAAAATGATATAATTTCTAATTCTCATGGTAAAAATATGAGATAAAATTCAAGTGTCACTACTCAGCATTTACCAAGCATGCCTTCTCTTCCTATGTAACACAAAGCTTCTTAGAAGACAGAAACTGCATATGAAATATCAGATGTTTGAGATGTTTCTACATTATCTATGTTTTAAACAAGCCAAATTATGTGAGTGCTCTTATCTATCTGATCAGTATTGCATAAGGAATGCCCTGAGCACACATGTGTCAAGGCAAAAGGAAAGGAATTCTTCAAGACTCTGAGTCTCCCAAATATGGTGTGTGTGACTAACAGCTGAGAGGAAATGCAACTGAGAAGGCCTGCGGGAAACCCATTAAGATCCAGCCCAGAAGAATGCGGGTGAGTGTGGCTGGATGTGCACATTTGTGCAGGAATGCAGCCATATTTTTGGCAATTCCGTTATGGTCTTGGATGACAATTACTGACAATGGTCTTTCTTTTTCAGTTGTAATGTTATATTTAAAGAACATTATTTCAGTGGAAGGACCTACTGGGTCTTTAAAACAAATAGGCTTAAAGCTTGGATTTACAAAGGCATGTGGTATTTCGAATAAAACACAAATGTGTACAAAAAATTATATGTTCCACAAAAACCACCACCTGCAGCCAAAAACAAAAAACAAAAAAACCACAAAACAAAAGCCAGTACCTTAGGAAAAAATTAGCATGCTACTTTGCATTTCACTCTACATTTCCCTTTAAATATATTATTTAAATATTTTTGTAAAAGCAGTGCCTTAGGATTATTATATTCTGAGAACAGGGTGTTTTTAAAGGAGTATTCATCTTTTAAAGCATATGCTCTGATACACTATTTATAGATAAGTTCACACCCAGCATGTGCTTGTTCTTTGGAATAAACTAGGTACCGCTGCTTTCCAAACGATTGAAGAGCCACATCTGATCCTGGTCACTGTACCGAGCCATCCTATGGTCTCAGTGCTGTGGAATGTTATACTATAAAATGAAAGCATGGTATTTTTCCTCTAAGAGTTTATAATTTAATATGGGTATAGATTAAACAAATGTATACATTCAAAGGTAAAAGTAATCTATAACCAGCTCTAATTGTTTTGACAATATAAAACACTCAGAAAGAAAAGTACTGTAATATTTTACAGGTGAACAGTGATAATAGGTAAAAGTGACACAGCACTTTGCAATTTAAGAAGTGATTCTCATAAAATTCAATGAATCCTCACAACCCATGATACCTTCCGGCC